AAGATTCATTGCAAGCGGTCGTTGGCCATAATATTTGAGGACATTGGTTAATATAAACAATTACAACATTGGACGCTCGATTGTATTCCTTTAGTAAAAAGAGACAACCCGTTACTCACAAATAATAACTATTTCGTGTTTTATTATCTAATAGATTAAGATATGTCTGTATATCATTGTATTCTCCGAAATCATAATCGTAAAACACGGTTGGATTAATCATTAAAATGTTTTTAATGACACCGTTTTTCGCATTTTTTCTTGAAAACTGCATAAATGCGAATGAAATAAATTTTATTGGCCAAACCTAATTCATTAGCGGAGAGCAAATACTCTAAAATTATGGCAAGATGACCTTAGACCCGTTTAACAACTCGGAAACCAAGCCGTGGCTATTAACTGGCCTAACAGTCCAAGTAGTTTCTGATCCATTCAAGTCGATCAAACGCAATGCACTAAGTATAGTAATGCCGGATCCGCAGGCCACTGTTCGGAGAAGAGAAGTCAATACGTGACTTTGCCTACGGACTCTTCCCATTTGTATTCTCGTGAGAGGGTTTCGCTTCCGTGTTGCTCCGGATTGTGGGGACTTTATCAAAAGCAACATGGCCTTAACTAACAGAGACGGACGACTGCTGGACGTCAATGGTAATGGATAGGCATAACGATAATAATGGCGTCATAGAAATATAGCCAGACGCGTATGACTTGTATTCCATATAAGTCGTTTTCTTCGAATCGCGCATATTTCACATGAAGCCGCCGCAAGAGGACTTGAAAAGCGGACGTTGCTGGTTTTTCTATGATGGAACGTCCGATGGCAGCTTTGGATCGACAATGGCTAAGGTCTGTACGAAAAGAGGTCGCCGGCGTACGACAACCGTTTTTCTCCGTGTGTGAGCGTCTAACAGGAGGCAACGAGACCCCCGTAAAAGGCATTGGCCATATACGTGGGGACAAGATTCGCTCTAAACCGGTGTGTGTACACGTGATGTATATAGAAATAAGTAGTTGTGACTGAAAATGTGAAAGACGTTATTATATTTTATTCTTAGCTAAACTTGGTTTTGTTCATTTAAACTCGGTAATCATAGAAAATATTTCACTTATTGGCATCCGCATTGGGTTCGTACTATGATATCCATTTTAAAGTATTTCACTCTATCATCGAGATAATAAACTTTAAATGTTATTTATGGCCTATAACAATTCCAAAAATGTTTTTTTTTTTAAATAAACATCGCAATTGTTAATTTCATAACGTTCCCAAAAAAATAAGTCAGTTTTAAAAAAATCCATTTAAAGATACGTTTTTACTATCAATAACGTAATTAGAGATTTGAACAACAAATACATGATATTATAACGTATTGGTTTGACGTAAATATTCGACCTAATTTTTATTAAAATCAAAGTCCTATTTTAGTTAGAAAAGCGAACGAAAAGAAATAATTCAACAATAACATTCTAGAACATGTATTAAAATTACTATGTTAGTATATCTATGCTGCTATAAAAATGATCATCATAAGTCGAAATCTTTTTAATATTCTGTTTAATTATATTTATATTCCAAAATTTTATAATTTGGTTTTACAAAAACGTTCAAGTGTTGCTTTGATGTTTTGTCATCACTTTGAATACTCTGAAGATAAGAGTATGTAACTATACGAGGAAAAAATATTCAGACCCTTTTGTGATGAACGAAAGGACAAGGTCAAGAAAATGAGCCAGAGAATTTTAATTGGCTTTGAACACACGTCAACTGTACTCTGTACACTTATGTCAACACGAGCCTTCGGGGACGCGCATGCCGAAAGATAATTATTACATCCTTCACACTGCTGGAGCAAGATATCCTTAGGCTACATAAAAAAAAAAAACGGAAAAGCTCAACGTCATGACATATTATTCGACTCTAGTTTATCTTTCTACAGCTATAACGAAAACTCGTAAGATTATTAATAAAACGACCTATGTGCTTCTATTTAAAATGTATTCACAACACTTGATGTTCTAGGAGTAATCATAAATCTAAACCTAGTCAGTGTTTCCACAGTTAAAAAATATTAGTATTTAATTATGACATGTAATAGAAATTATTTTTATAAGTTAATAATAACTCAACGAAGTGTCATCATAACACATGTGACTGATTTAAAACCGTAGTGAACACCGCAACGAATAGGTTATTAATAAAAGTATAGTGTGAATTTAAATGCTTGATATCTAGTAGTTAATTAACTCAACAAAGAATATATTTTAAAACCAATAGAACAATCTTGTACACATCGCCTGAACCAATTAGAAGCGAAATTGCTCTACATACACAGTAATGGTGGTAACGATCAATTGTTTAAAACTAATTATAAGAATCCAAAGAATGGGTTGTACTGTAGACAGTGAATTAGTTATTTTGGAAGCCTAAAACTTTACCCAAATAGTTTAAGAGATATATTTTTCTTTCCAATAGGCTTTTTTATTTATGTTCATTTTAAACAACAGACCATGACACTTTTATGACGCAACTCAGTAAAATCACAAGTCTTAAAATCCATTTGAGTGCTACCGTAAACTACTTGTTATTTTTATGAGTTCGTTTAAAGAAAGTTATTAGCCGCAAATGTTATTTTCAATAAAACAGATTGCTTTTTCGACACAACCAAAACTGTAATTCAATATTATCGTGGCTGACCTGGGTACTGTTTTTCTATTAAAAAAATTATGTCCAGCACTAAACATTCATTTAAAAACGAAGTTTTAATAAATAAAAATGCAGTTTTTAAAATACAATTGTTATTTAAAAATCTTTTCAACATCTTTAAGGTTTTAAAAATGACTTAAAAGGCAACTTTTCAGAAATTAATAATTAAATAATTAAAAAACAACGGATATTATTGCGCATATACTTAAAGTTGCACTACTATTGCTTTATGTGTATATAACATTTATAAAATAAATTATAAGCTATTAAAGGGTTGTAAATATTATAATTCTATGTTTATTTGAGTTGTTTAAGCGTGAATTTATTTATCGACATGTCAATAGACAATGTATAGAGTTCGTAGGCGCCTTCGTCAACCGCACAAATCGCACTTATCTATTTAACGGACTTAAAAGTCCGTCTTAAGTAAATTAATTTATAATATTATAATATGTCGTCTAGATCAATTATTGAAACAATATTTTGTTTCTCCATCTTGCCAACTTATTATTCATAATCTACACACGTGGCATTTAAAAAAACAACAGTACTGTTATCCTGATTTTACTTATAACAATTATTATATTTCGTGTCAAGTATTGAATAGTTATATGCAAGCGCTAAAAAAGGTTATGCACACGTGATATTCATGAAACAAAACGACTTTATCGAAAAAGCGCCGTGCTTTAATAAATAAATTGTAATAGAACTAAAAAACTGTCCGTTAAAAAGTTAATCAGTAGTAATTTGACCGCATGAATCATATAGTGAATAATTACGGTTATCAAAATTATAATAATAAATAAAAACAACATGATTATTTTGTGTAATGTTCATTTTCTTAGCATACAAAACAAAAAGAAATTCAAAGTAAAATAATAGGAATAAAAAGGCAATGATTGAAAACACTGTAATAAGTGTTTAAACACACATTAAAGAAATTATGAAAAATATACATGATATTTTGAAAACAAAACTACTTGTTTGTAATAGATTAGTATGTGTTGGTAACTTCAATGTTTTAGAAAGTTGGTAATTTTCACGATCAGAGAAAAATCTCGAACGAAAGAATTCTCTTTAGCCCAAATTATATTACTACAAATTTCTTTATCAAAGAAATCTCACCGAATAATTGATATAATCAAAAGTATTACACAACAAGGTACATTACTTCCAATCACATTCAATCAAATCATTTGATCACAAAAACGAATACGAGCAATGAATCAGCTCATAATTATTATTATTGTTCATCGAATAGATGCCCAAATAATAATACGTTCTTCTCTTACTTTCATTTATATCAATACAACAAATACTGCCTAGAGACGTGTAAAAATACTTTGATGAATATAATCTCACCAGCGTCCCAATGATCAGCTATAACCTATTAACTAGACATGACAGATTGAAGACTAAAAGTTGAATATAAAAAAAAAAAACGTTTGTTTCTGTACATTTATTTTTTTAATATCATGTTTTTAGTACCAAGAAATATGAGATCATATACTATTATGTACATTAAAGTAATTTATTATGATAGTTTAGTGTGTACATCCACCCAAAGAAAAGCATTGCGATGAATACTTGTCCAGACGGTTGAATAATAATTATAATTGTAATGCCCCACGAAGATATGCTAACAAATGACTATTGTAAACAAAATAGTATTATTGTAGGCCGACTACTTCAAGAGGGTTACTGCTGAAGGGGTCATTCAAACGCATGTAAATGAGTCGTCTTCCTAATAAATAACTAATTTCCATAAGTCTACAAAATATCGTCCGGATAATGTTCAATATCAAAACCATTTATACGCCATAAAGTACTGAGATTTACGAAACACGTCCTCTACTTTCTTATCATACAAACAAATTACGTGTTTTTGTCTTATCTCTGAGTAGTCTTAGCAAACGATAAAAAATTGCACGAGTATAAACTTTTACAGAGATCAGTGTAAGTTATTTGCAAATGCATTTGTAATCTCACTACAGAGTGTAAAATAGTAGGCAGTGTAACGAGCGTTGGTCGAAGACGGTGTGATTATCATTGTTGTTGTACGATAATATTTATTTATGCTGTCGAATTCACACGTCACTCGTATAGGTTCAATTCAATATGTACATAGAGTGTGTCACTTAGTCACAGGCATCACATACATTGCGTACAAACTCGTTTACACGACACACCGGCTGAGAAAAATTAATACTATTTCAACGCACACGTGTTGTAGTACACAAGTAAAATAGCGAACTTCAGTACTTATTTTAAATTAACGTATTAAAAAAATGCATACCTTGCACCAACCACCATTTGTTTTCTGGCTATGTCAAACAATAACTGGGAGTAAGATGTCACTCCTTCTTCCGAGAATATATCGGCTGTCGTCATGATATCTGTAATAAAAATTCATAAAATTACAAAAAATTCAGACATTTTTTTCATACTTATTTCAGCTTACTCGTAATGAGATTAAATTTGTCATAGGCGTGACAGGCACACTTTACAATTTAGCAAAATTACATGCATTATTATTTTTTTAAGAAAACAAATTGAAGTCAGCCCCCCTCCCCAAAAAATTGATCTAATGGTTTACGTTTAAACATATTACAAGTAACAGGTGATTTTAATAAATGGCTCGATCTTAACTGTATTATAAATACTTAAATAAACAAAGCCTGAGGATTTCACAGAAGTTCGCTACACATGGGCATTCTAGATTAGTTATTTTATTATAAGTTCACATAATTTATCGAGATGATTAACGCTGTAAGGCTTAAAATATCTTGAATGTGTAAAACGCGTAAGGGGCGGTCACGTATCAACAGCTATACATGCTAACCGATTATATTTCTGCAACAATAACCGGTCCAAAAAATTAATTATCAAAGATTAAATATTTAAAATTAAAAATATTTAACTTAAAAAGTCACAAAAAAAAAAAAAAATTACTAAAAAATCGCGGAAAAGTTTATTTTTTATAATTTATTTTTAATATTTAACATTTTTCAATGTATAGAGAGATTGGTTTTTCCTACATATATAAAGCCAGCACCTCTCGAACTACCTAAAATAAAGTCAATAAGTTTAAAGAAGTAACAATGCATCTATGAATAATAAAGACCACAGAGGATAATGTCAATGCTCTTTTTTGGGTCATCATTAGTTGCGTACAACTTCCAAATTAATTCGTTATATAATTTACACGCCGAAACGTATGACTGGTGTAGGATTATAATAGTAATGGCCACCCACAAACAGAGTCATTTTAACATTTATGAGTTTCTCAAAAGGTAATAAATAACATTTTAATAAATAAGTAGCCGGCAGTTACTTAGTTGTTAACTTTTATTTTTTATTACACTTTAATCGTACGGCTTCGAATGACAATATAAACCATTGCGACATCGGTTGGAAAATCATTTTGGCGAAACACCAGTTTGTTTATCTGCATAATAACTATTTACAACGATAATCTTTCCGTGCACAAAACAAGTACGTTAAGAACATAAATTTATTTGAAATTTAAAAGCGAAACAAGGCGAGTAAACAAGAGAAAACAATTTTAACACATTTAGGGACACATGCCCCTATCTAAATACGTCTCTGATCATATTGCAATGTGTTCAAAATAACATCAATGATAATTATCACTGATAATTATAAATGAAATCATAATTTAAAGCGTACGTGACGGAAAATGTATTATTTCATCAGAATTTATGAAAATTTACCATAATGAATCCGACCTTTAAAGTTATCATCACAATGGAAACACTGATGTGTTCACTATGTACAATCGCGGTCATCATTACTATTTTCTTCGTATCAAACTAGCTCATTGAACATTCATAAAATGATTTCTCATCATTAATTGTTCGTCTAAAGGCTACACGTTGCAATCTCGATTGATACGCATTTCGCAAAATAAACAATCTTTTTTTCAATCATTAATTGAATTTTTTCATATTTTCTACAATATGACGCAATTTCGTTGTCGACTGTAGATAATATCGAGTAATATTTAACTTAAGAATATCTGATTTTCTGAAAGCTGACCATAATAATGTTCGTAAAAGACGTCGCATATCGTCTGCCGCGGTTATTGACCTTAATACGACCGATTTAACTCAATTTTCAAATAATAACAACAATAATGAAAATAAAATTGTATTGCACGTCAAGAAGTCTATCAGCTATAGTTCATAACTGTCAAGAGATACGCTGTCTGTAGCGTTACATCACTATATTGTAATTTGTTCAGAACCGTTTGTGTCGCTCACTTGTTTGCGTGAAAAAATTTAAAAAATATGTATTCCGTGACTAAAAAATTGTAACACTACTATATATAATGTTAAAAAACGTAGAAACTATTTATTTACCTTAATGTATGCTGTCAAACATTTACATGACGTTATTTGGCTTGAGATGTTTGGTCAATTTTTCCTAATAAAATTATTTCGTTTTAATAACAGTGTACTAAAATAAGTTATCGAGACAAAGGAAATACTCGGAGAAATTCTGGCGGTCTTTAGCTTAAACCTCAAGTGAGAGTTTTTTTAAATATAGCCGAAATATTTCAATAATTAAACATAGGCCGTTTAAACGATTGCGGTGCATCAATGTAAATTAGTCGGCATACCGTAAAAAAAAACTTTAATAGAAAAAACGCACAGAGAAATGGAAATTTGATTGTATTCTTAAAGAGAAACGCTTTTTCAAAAACTAAAAGAGTTTACATAGATATAAGTTTTTAATTTTTACCAGCCCGGGGGTTTATGGCATCAGCCAGAATGGAAATAGTAATTATGTACAAGAAATTACATTATTACTTATACCATCCCATGTTACAATGCGTTATTAAAACGTACACCACAGCTAATGTGCTAAGAGAATCGAGTTAATCTTTACTATTTTTTTGAAGAAGAAGAACTCTTAACGTTTGAGTTGCCTTATGATTTCGATTTTGCGGGTCGATAATCCCCGTGTAAGAAAATATCTTATGTACAACGTTCTAATGTGCACGAGGATTCAAAACCCCACAGAAAAACATAATATATACCATGACATGTGTTAAGGTTCACGACTCATCGCCTCTTTTTCTCACTACTTTTTACCTAAATCTATACGGTGAGATCGCAACAGAATCGACGGGGTGCGTACTGCAGCGGTGACAAGACGAACGGCAGATGTGCATGCAAAACGTATATACATATATAAAACAATGGAAATAAAAACTGCGAAATCTGAAGATCGACCAGTGCAGATGTTTGAGGCACACGACAATAAAAAATGTATAAACAAATGAACAAGGTTAGCAACAGCGTGAGCATAAAACGGCAAAACTCGGGGGCCGATCTCGACACAATCATCGGAAGGCTTTGCAAGTACTCTCCCCACGTTTTTATCGCGCGCATTGTAATAATATTTTGCGGTCCGTGACAACCAGTAATCGCAATCTAAACGGGGGTGTCCTATCCAACAGACGCCCACGACGATGCGGAGGAGACGATGTGAGATGATAAGCGTAACTCGAGGGCCGAGTGCATAAAGAACAAAGCGTATAACAAACACAAACCGTCGTAGTAATTGCAACGGTTAGTTTTTATAAATAATCGAACATGAACAGGTCTACCTTCAAACTTCAAGGTCATCGTCTACTACGAAAGGGTCGAACGCACGACTCACACGCACTTGTTGACCGAATGCTTGTGCTATGAAGTGCAGGATTTGTTTACGATTTTTCAAAAAATAACCGCCAAAAACACATCTGGCGTTCTTCAATCAAAAACGTCACCGATTGAGATCATATTTCACGTTTTCCGTTTCAAATTAGTACACTGACCCATGCGAAAAACTGCTTACTTGAAAGCACCTCGAAACTGTCTTATTGCTCGTTTGCAAACGTCTGTCTTTTAACAAACGCAGTGCAGACTAGACAGTTGTCAAACCAACTACGACTTAATTCTCACGGTGTACCTTCCGCAAGAGTCGGTCGATTCGACGCTCTCGAATTTTATTCGAACGACTCAACAGTCGGCATTCGTACAGTTTATTGTAATAAAAATATTGTAACACACTCTCAACATAACCACCACGTTCCCCGCGGGTGAATACACTGCTACACCCTACCTATTTATACATTATTTTGAATTTTCATCCACGCAAAATGCTTTCCATACAACGTTACCTTGAAATTAACTTGTAGCCTCCAGCAATGTCAGCAAGACTATGTACAATAATAATAATAAATATATTTACATGTAATGAGTTCACTATCGTATGGCTTGCCGACAAACCGCACCGCGTGGAGGTATTAAACGTCGTTCAACTAACCGGTCCAGTAATTGCCTAGCCGTCCCGTTCTAAGGGATGCACTAACATATCATTACCGTAACATCATAANATTGCCTAGCCGTCCCGTTCTAAGGGATGCACTAACAGATCATTACCGTAACATCATAAATTTTAACAATACACCAATTAACTGTCATACACCCACAAGCCTATTTTGTAAGTACCGTTGGAATCATATGATTTTTTCGACATCCATTTAAACAAGTTCCTACGATTTTCCATTAAATTCATAGTCTAGCATAAACAACTAAATATTTAAACATTAAAGAATAGTTATATTTTATACAGTATTGGTTGGGTATGTTGTTTATTTAATAGTTTTATAGATAAAATATCAGCACAGAGGGCACTCGTCGTACTTCGGACAAGTCAGACACCTGACAGTGATTGAATCACTATCATAGCTTTGATGCAAATCGTGTTTAATTTTTTGACGGAATTGTTTGATTATTACAAAAACATCATAAACTTCTTTTTTTTTAATTATATTCTGATTACAAGTTTTGTAATTTATAAGTATATCGCAGAGATAAATAATTATTAAAGAAATTAAACTTAGTATGATTACAAATTATATTCAATAATTTAATATTGTATTTTTTACGGAGAAATTATAATAAATTATTAAGTATTTATATATTTCGTTACTTCTACATTGACGTGACACATTTATCACATAATGAACGTGTATCAAAAACGCAAGTATGGATTTATCAAAAAAAAAGTTAAAAAAAAGAAAGTTAACTTTCTTAATTCAGATTATTATGACCTTCGTTAGTTAATTATGATTTCAATTATGAAAATGTAATATATCATGAATTATTGGTAGCTAGAACATTTTTTTTTGAAAGATCATCCCTTCCCTCTAATAAACTCAATGAATTGTCATTAAAAGCTGCAAAAATTCTACCAGAAAATATTCATATCTTTTTTATAATTATTTTTTTGTAAAAAATGGGTAAAATGAGGATATTTACTTCTCTCCTATATGAATATACTGTTTGAAATATAAGCTAAAATAATTGAAAAAAAAATTGATGTAGACATTTTAACAACACGAGAAACAGTGATTTTTACAAGAAAAAGAACATATTTTGTTTAATTTCAGGGGCCGTCTACATATAAGAAGTTAAGGTGTTGGGTCAATTTTTTTTTTTAACTTCAATTAAGTAACATAAGTTTTAATTGAACATATGTTTATAAAACGAATTGTTTCTGGAATAATTTCAAAAGTTTAGCTGAAAAAGTTAACTTTTCGTGAAATGTTTATTATTTTAAAACCGTTTTGTGAGCAGTTAAATAATTAAACATATAATACAAAAATACCAAATGAACAGTATATACCTAAGGTATTTTTATATAAAAAAAATGTATTTTGACAAATCGATTTTTAAAAAAGTTTTGATGGTTTTATGAAAAAATGCTTTAAAATTTACCGACTTTATAAATCGTAATTTTCGAGGATTTTGATAATTTAATGAGGGAAATTTTTGAGGGGAATGTCTTCAATTTATGTTTCTTTGACGTATCGTTAAAAAAATCAATCCAGTGAGAGCTGAGAAAAAGTGGTGGAGACATAAAAATAAAATCACATCATAGTAAAATTAATATCTCCTCAACTTAATTCAATGCATAAATGTATTGACATGACAAAACTACAAATATGTTATGAAGAGAAAGTTGTCAAATCCTAATAGAAATAGAATATAGTTGATCGGACAACTACCAAGTAATTATTTTGCGAAAGTAATATGGTTTTGTAGAGGATTAATTTAATGTAAATTAAATTAATTTGTTTTTTAATATTGAAGTTTATTTTTTTTCTTGTTATACCTTTTTGCATATACAAAAATAAACAAATAGATAAAACTAGGTTCACAATTCTGTTGTACCTAAAATAAGGACAAAAAATATATAAAAGATTTTATGTAGTATGTTAAGAAATAAAACAAAGCTACACTAGATGAATTTATTTCTAATTAAAGAATATCCATTAATTTCTCTCATTTTATTATAACATTCAGGAAATTATTAAAAATTATTTCTTAAATTAATTAAATAAATTTAAGCAAAACTGATTCATAACTAAACAGTATAATGTTAGGCTATTCTATTATTATTTCATAACGTAATATAAATACCTAATATCGTCTACTAGATATTATTTTTTAATAAATAATACATCTTTATTATGGCTAAGAATATTTACAATCTGTACAATGTTAATAAATAAATTTTACCATATGACATGCGTTAGAAAATATTAATATTAATTTATTATATTAAACTAATAATATCAAATTAAAAAAAAAAAACGTCAAGCATATTTTTATGTACTTTTGGCCTGAGAATTGCAATCAGTCGACTCAACCTAATGTTTTTATTTTTTCTTAATGTGTGCAAGTCTTTCATGGTATAATTGTATATTATTATTATTTTATAATTTAATTTTTTTACTCTTTCAATATAACATAGTAATATTTAATATATTATTTTTGCTGGCAATACCAAATTATACATCTGTATGTTAGTATATTAATAAAAAAACATATATTTTTTGTTGTTTTTTAATTAACGTTATACTTTTGGAAGGGCTTTCATAGTTATAAAAACTGGAGTGCAGTTGAGTTGACCTGAATCATTGAATAATTTAGAATAACAACAGGCTATTCAAAGCTACTGAGCTATGTAAAGACAATAGTGAATACAGTGTAATTTTGTTTTTTTTTGTTTGCACATTTTAAACAGGTCACATTTTGTTCTACAGCAATAATATTTACGTCTTCATAAAGATTAATTCTTGAGGTAATTTTCGAAAAGTTTTCTTATCACATAATAGTATTGTGAAAAAACAATATGAAAAATTCAGAAAAAAAATATAGCCAAATCATCATCTATGACTTTCTTAATTTTCTTAAAGCTAATTATTAAAATAAAAATCAAATAATTTACAATTTGTGATGCATTTCTAATTATGTAGTTTCTAGAATAAGTCATAACTAGAACAATTGATTGTGTAATGCAACGGTGTTGTGTATTGTGACTGAAACTGTTTTTTACGTGACACAATAATAAACCATAAGAATAAATCAGTTGTGTATGTTAAGGTCGATTTATTTTGTATCAGTCCATGTAATAAGACAGGAACATGTATATAGACTAAGGAATCACGCCAAACCGGGTAAACAGTTGATATTATTTTGTCTCTTTAATGAATTCTTTAACGCAATCAAAAAATTAAAAAAAAAAAATTCAAGAAAAATCAATATTTGATGAATAGAACAGATAATTAAAATGTAAAAAAAATGCTATCTCTTTAAATGAAATTGTCCTGAGAATACATACAGAAGACTCAATAATTTAATTTAAAAAATATTCATAACATTAGTTTGACCTGCAGCGGATCCATATTTTATATCAGAAAAGACGTTTGAAATAAGAGGAATTTTCCTATTATTTTTAATTAGTTAAAATACATTCAGCCTACTCGATCGCTGACCATTCATCGACACAGAGGCCGTTCGTTAAAAGTCAATAGTAAATTATATGCTTACCTTCGTGTGGAATAACGTGATGTTCTGGTTGTGTTCGTTGAGCGCTTCCGATGACAACGATGACAATATAAGCCATCAACAGCACCCGTAGATTGCACATGGTCGTGCTTCTTACGCTGAACCTGTAAACTAATAAAATTGTGTCGTTTGAGTAAATTGCGAATAAAATACTGTAGGTGCTATTTATTTTTTCTTTGGATTGTTATTAAGAATCACTGTTAAAATTCACCCAGATTACCACGTTTTCAAACACAATTCAGACTAATGGGTAATTACGATTTACAATCGTTTTGTTATTAAACAAGTCGATAGGAACCGCTTATTGAAATCCCACAACGGCATAACAAATCATGTTTCATTCTAAAGACGGGAAATTATTTCCAATGAGATAATTCAGGACTAAATATAGACTACCTGACGCTATCATTTCCAATTGCATTTCAAATGAATTCAAGTTTAAATAGAATTATATAGAAATGTTGTTTGTTTTATCGTACATCATGAATGCTCTGTGTATTTTCAGTTTATTTGTTAGTAAACATATTTTGTAGAGACCAGGCTTTGCTCTATACATAACCTTTAAAGTGACTCACATGTCTTCATTTAAATGATCAAATTCTGTGTCCCCTTTTAAACGTAGTTACAACATTACTGAATAAACACAATGCATAACGTAATAGATTTTGTTTGGGCGACACAGGCTTTTAATATTCTTAAGATGACAACATAATGCACACCGACAGAGGTGGCTATAAATAAAAATTATTATAGTAAATTGATTGTACACTACAGTGTATACACATCATTAATTTTATGGTGAACACTTTTATTATACATAAACCAGATGAACCTTTTTATTTTTTAACTTATAATTATGACATCGAAACACGAGGTAAATTAATATTTTATGTTAGCTTACTTAAACAATACCGAGTAAGAAACAATGAACAATTTATAATGATTACCCTTTTTTTTAATGTTGGGGGTCAATGTTACAGTCAAAAATTGTTGCAACGATAAGACTTTAAATTTATTATTGTTTCCTGATTGCTAATGAGCTATTCGAATGTATAAAAAAATGCACAAAATTTAACAAACACATTGTGTGCACTCTTGCTTATTAAAAAAACATATTTTAACGGCCTTGACTTGCTGTGATCTGATATTTATCAAGTTCGTTGACTGATATTACGAAGATTTATCGCAATAATATAATTATTACCTTGTGTAAAGCCGCCGAAACTAGTTTAAGCATTCGATAAAATACTAGTGGGAAGCATTGTGCGCATAAAAAATGAAACGAAATCTGTCGTTGAAGTCTCTGTGCAAAGTGATCGTTTTATGCTTCACAGAAGTTCTTTATGAAGATAAATAGATGATAAATAAAAATCAATTCTCATAGTAACGTGCGCATAAAGGTAACCACATAATTTGTCATGACAGTCATGTAATGCATTGTGGTAAGATATTGGCTAACGATATACAGCCTCGGTTAAGAATCAAATTGCCGGCAAACTTTGTACGTTTGAACTTTTATTAATTCATCTATTGTCTCTATTCGTGGCCGAACTATCACACAACCACTAAGAATAACCTTTGTCTCGGTATAAAGAATCGTGAGGGAATAAAATAGATCACATTGCGCGTTGACCACATACTATGCAGTTGTTATTTACAAATAAAACCAGCGAATGGACACAATAATGTCTAACCTCAGAGATACAAAAACTACTCGGTTATGAAATAACCGCGACAGTATTGTAAAATAAATCGTTACATTATCAAATGTACATCGCTCACATGAAAACATGAAATCGTGAACTAACAGCGATCTGAAATATTTGATAACTATTTAACCACAGACGCATTGTACAAGTAGTACAAAATGAGTGTAAATTGTTATCACACGTATTAAGATATTGTATCCAGACGTTTTAAATGGAGCAGGTCGAAACTTCAATTTCACTACATCGTTTTGTTGTAAACCCACTCACAACAACAACAAAGTAATTAAATTGTATAGGCTAATTTAATGGTAGCAAAATATACTGCCGGCGTTTTTATTAGTATTTAAACATTAATAAAAACTTGTTATTATCAAGTAATTAAACAGCTACGTGTTAATGAATTTCTAAAACTATTAATATATTTTTAGCTTCAATGCGCAGCTAAAAATATAATAATAAAATATAGTACAGATCTGGATGCTAACATTTAATTAACAATACTAAACTGTGAAAAAAAATTAAGAAAACGCCATAGGGACAAACGAAAAATTAATTTACTTCTATTTTCAGATAACTTTTTTTGTTCACCATAAGAAAGTAAGTCACGGCACTCTTCGTTGGAAGTGTTGTGATATAAATTAAAAAAATAAAATTAATTTTTTTCCAATTAAAACTGTTGAGCGAGGAAAACTTATCAAGTTGTATTGATATCGTAGTTTTTTTTTACCGCATTATAATTAAGAAATTTATTTGTAATCTAGTGTTTTTATAATTTTGGTAACGCAACTCTAAAGTTATTTATTAACATAGAATATAATGAAATTCACTCAATTTGACTAGTAAATTAAAAATAATAGAAATTATGAAAACGAAAAATTTATAACAATAACTTTTTCAGCAATAATTTGGTAAAAATGTTGAGATTCGGATACATATAAAATAAAATTGTCTCGTGCAAAACATGTTTATAACTGTTTTGTTCTGTATATCTTAAAAAATGGAGGACGTTCTACTCAAATATAAATCTTTTGATGAATTTCAAGATTATTTAGGTGAAGTAAAAGCTTTCGCTGGAAACTGACTTAAACTCGAATGTGTTTATAATACTTAACGTTTTATTTAAAAACCGCCGAGTATTGAGCAAGCACGTACATTAGCATCCGGTCCGCTTACAATGTGTGCATATACAATATTATGATGCACCTCCTCGTGTGTGGTGGCTGCTACTGTAGTTTTATTTTTAACAAAAAAACAGTATCCAGACGCACAACTCTGTCGTATCACAGCACGTCGCTGAGAATACAAAAATGGTATGAGCAGGCAAGCAGAGTCAAGACGCATAACAATAAACGTTGGACTGGTTTTTTTGGAGTTCTTCGAATTAAGATTTTACATTACAAATGACTAAACGCAATTTTTGACAAAAAAGAAATATCACGCCAGCTATAGTAAATAATGATTTATTTAATAGCAATAGAAAATGAAAAACACCTTTTACACAAAACATAATACAACTGAATCGATTTATCAGTTAAACTGGATTCTTGNGAATCGATTTATCAGTTTAACTGTATTCTTGTTAAAAACTCTTTAAAAGAATACTGTTAGACAAGAATGATTAAAATCAATAGATCACGTGTGTGCTCGATTAGCGATTTTACTAACTTGTCACGATTGGTGACATGGTTTTTCTGTTTTCTTTTTCGGTAGCGATATTTTTCTGGGGAGGGGGTGCCCACATAGGCCATAATCCGTCCCTGTCGACTAGGGCTATGATTTATGGTACGACGCATTGAATTACCAAAAATTTCATTAACATAAAACGCACAAGAAAACCGAAGGATATTTTTGATGAGTTATTTTGACTCGTGTAACTCGATACGTTTACAGAGCGCAAACAGAACAAAATAGTATACATAATTCTATTTGATTCACTATGAAGGCGTATGGAAGTTGTACATGGGACTGTGCGGTTTTTCAAAGATTAATAATAACTCAACATTGTCGAATAATCATTGAAGTGTGAGGAGAACACAAAGAAAGACAGAGATAACACACTAAAGACCTCGTTTCCTGCTGATACCGAAGCGTGTACAATGAAATGTATGTTATAATGATCAAATATAAAAACAAAGATCAAAGAAGAAATCTTGCGAACAACACTAGTAGAGAATAAAAGCGCGTTGGATATAGAACAAGCGGCAAATGATATAACTTCTTTGCGTGTACGACTTAATTATCCGTGGTAATGATCGTTGAAGTAATATGTATGCGGCTGGTGAGAACGAGGCTATATCTGGCATGTAATGTTCTAAAAAAATAAAAACTTTGTACACCTAAGACTGCGTCGGCCAACCGATAATAATAATCACAAGTCCGGCTTCTTGGTCATTAACAGCTAGAACAATACTAACACTGATGACATAGAAAAAAGTGCGACTTTAACGAGCGGTCATATGATTCCACTTAGTAAAATACATATAATAACGTCAACTCTGGAAGAATTAGTGAAATGTTTCCAATTGTATTTGAATAAAGAACTCGTTTTCATAATAAGTTATAAAAATTACTATTCCGTATAATGGAAGAATATAAATAATTATCATAAAATTGATTTAAAAGTCTAATTTTTCTATGTAAATTAAAAGTTAATTATCAAATGTTATCATTTTACTTTATAATAGAAATACTGTTGCTTATAATTACAGAACACAAATCATTAATTTTAATTAAGTTATACGTAAAAGTTGTTATTTATCAAACGGGTCAATAAAGTGATATGAACTTTATAAATGATAAGGAATAGTGTACACAAAAATTATCTCCTGGTTGAACTTGATATCAAATAAAATTATTACTTTCCATTAAAATTATGAATGAATTCAATGTAATATACATTTTGTGTTCAACTTTATACGACTCCACTAAAACAAATTTCTGGTTTTATATTTTCTTACGAATCAATCGATAAAAATGAACTGACTAGTATGTTGTTAAAAAATATTTCATAATAAAATTAATGAGGAACAAATTATATTATTAACAAAATCAAATTTATTTTATTAAACCTTAAGCTAATTTATTTAAACAGATTTATAACTATTTCTCATTGAGACAATCAACTTAAACATCAAAATTATGCATTAGAAAGATTATTAAACATGAAAATGGTCTATCTTATATAAGCAGCAAGTTAAATGTCAAAAAATAAACCGCATCACATGTAAATGCAATAATTACTGTAAACATTTAATTCAAATAATACAGCTTAAAACACATGTTTTGATACAAAACAAAAGGCTAACTCAGATCACACACAACTAATTGGAAGAGTAAAAAGAATTTATTAGGTATGAATAAAAATAGACAGTTGTACGCCAATGTCATGCATCGTTAATTCGG